AGAGTTTTTGATATTTACTGCAATTTGTAGAGGACATAAGTTTTTGATCAAAGAAATTTTTTTAATTTAGTACTCTGTCTGGAATTTGTACAGGACGTTAGATTTTAGTTGAACTAAAATTTTCCTTTGAATCTAGCTCCGAAGAATTTTAATGGAAGTCAATAATAGAATGTACTAGCTAATTTTTTTCTTTTGTTACGGATAAACCAATACTCATAGTGCACGAGCAAGGGTCGTCGATTTGGGCTGAACTAAGGACGTTTTCTGTTCAAGACAAAGCGAGTTTTTAAGAAGATTGTATCATAACTTGTTGTGATAATTTGACATTTGTTCTGACTGTGGTGTGGACGAATCGAACTGTGTTCGTCAAGAGAAGACGCTCATTAACATCTATATTTCTGAGCCGTCCTTTTTTAGAACATCATTTTTTGTATTTATGATTTTTGTCTATAAATGCTTTTGCACCACAATCAGTGATCTCCATTTAATGTTCGATTCTATTTTACTATTATAATTATATAGTCTGTTCAAAATCAAAAACAGTTGATGACATTAATAGTAACAATTATGTCTGACGAACTCAATAAATTGCAGTCAATTAAGAATAAAAAAAAGCACTACTATATTTTAGCGCACTCTACAAATTACAGCTCATTAAATTGAAATAATGAAACTCAATCTTTAGCGAACTCTAGAAATTTCAACAAGTTTAAAAATATAATTGGAATTTTAATTTGTTTTAAAATTGTTATCAGTAATTTTTTTTTTAAATTTTGAAAACCGAAAATTTAAGACCTAAGATTATTTTAAATTTGAATAAATTAAATTTAAAAAACAACTGAAATTTAATTTAAGAGATTTTTAATTTGGATTTTATGTTCGCAAATGAGAGGACATGATGTTAACTCCACGTCACTAACTTTGGAGAATCAGAACATAATGCCTATTCATTTAGGTCGAACGAGAATTGGGTGTGGGTGTGGATGTGATTGTGGTTGTTGGACTCGGATTCCTTCATATCCACACCCACACCTAGACCCTGTTTTTATTATCGTAGTTTGCAAAGTGAAAGTTATTTCTGAAGAAATTGATCTAACTTTTATTTTTAACAGTACGAATCACTGAGTCGTCCATTTCGAAAAGACAATTGAAAAACAAAAGTTTAGGAGAAATCAGATTTTCCAAGTTTTCATGGTTCTCAAATACATCTATTTTTTTATAAATCTTGTCTCCAATTCTTAGATATGTAATACGAGATACAAACATTTAAGTAGATATTATGGCATAATCAAAATTTTAGCGTCATTTTTTGTGAAAATTTGTTGCCATCTTTATCATTTTTGCTTGAAGCAGCTAAGCAATTGAGAAACGGCCCACTATATAAATTTTATGAAGACGAGAAAGTTTCAGTTGAAAAAAAACAAACTTGACAGTTTCGTAGAGCAAAACACTATATCAAATAAATAAAGTCAGATATCAAATCTATTTCTAAACGTCTCAAAAGCAGAACACAAGAGTAGCGGACTCAGTCAAGTACAAGTGCTATCGCATTTCTTTAAATGATAAATAGTTATTGTTGAGCTTGCCTTTAAGGAAGTAAGCTCAGTGTTTTGATTTTTTTCTGATGTGCTAGCCTTGGTTGAGCTCACGATTAATCAATATTTTGCTTTCAATATTCTTTAAAATAGACTATTTTACTCCAAGAAAACATATAGTCATATCTGAAAATCATTTTGTGCGTTTTTGTAATAAAAGCTTAATAATAGATATAAAATAGCTTTTCATTTTCTTCAAACCGAACCGAACCGATCGACTTTTTGAACAGTTCAAACCGAACCGATCCCATCACTGCTATACATTGAACTTGTTTTTCCACTTTGTCAACCATCTGCTGAAGTTTTTTCAATGTCAAATAGAGTATCAGTCTTCTTATCTTTTATTTGACAGTTGCGTCCACAAAAGTGAATGATATATGCTCAATAATATAGACCGTCATTATTGTGCTGTTAAAGAGCATTTGTTTCGATGAAGAATGGAACGAGATACAATGACAGTTCTGAATCAACATACTTGCTGCCGAAAATATTGTGTATTTGTGTGCAAGAAAGGAATGAAAGTCACATCCGCTCTTCTACTTCCACTTCTACTTGCCATATTCACGGTGGTGATTACATTCGAACAGAAAGCAGATGCTGATAAACAACGATTCGAAGATCGAGAATTGGCTCAAAAACAACGACAACAAGATTTAAATCAATCAATTCTTAGTCGAGAAAATGACAGGACTATTGCTGATGCAAAAAGACTGGCGGATGATTTGAATGCCGAAAAACAACGAAATATGTCACGAGAATTAGAAGAAAGTCGATACAAACAAGAACGACATAGATATTTCGACGAACTTCTAGTTTCATACTTAAATGACATTGGACAATTACTGAAAGAGAACAATGGTTCACTCACCTCAAATCCTGCACCAGCTGCATTAGCGCGCGCCAAAACTCTTCAAATTGCTCCTCATATAGGACCTGTTCGAGTTGCTCAGTTAATTCACTTTTTATATGATGCCGGTCAACTGACACGAGAAAAGAATCCATTAGATGTCTCTGGAGCATATTTTCATGGTGTGGATCTTTCGACATCATCTCTTCGTCATATTTCGCTCGTCGGAGCCTATATGAATAATTCTTCCTTTACTGGTCAAGATGTTTCCGAAGGTGACTTTCACAATACTCATCTGAATGGAGCCGACTTTAGTAAAGCGAATTGTACTAACACGTCATTCAGTGAAGCAACAATGATTGATGCTAACTTCTCACAAGCTATACTTCATTTGGCTACTTTTTCTCATGTTCAACTGATTAGAGCTAATTTCAGTCAAACAAACTTTACTAATATAATGTTTGAAAGTGCAAATATGATGGAAACTGATTTTTCTCATACTAGTCTCTTTTCAATAAAATTCTCCAAAGTTGATCTGGCAAAGGCTAAATTTAATGCCGCGACTATTTCAAGTTACTATTCATATGTTTCATTTTTCCAAAGCAATATGCAACACACGAACTTTAGTAAGAGTTATATTCCTCGAAGTCGATTTGTCGAGTGCAGTCTCATTGGTGCTGATTTTCGTGAAGTCGAACTTTTTCGCGCATATTTCGAATATTGTGATATAGACTATGTTAATTTTACTGGCAGTCAGCTGGAATCTGCTACATTTAACAGAAGTTCACTAGCTTTTACTGCTCTGATAAATACTCGTCTTGAAGAGACAATATTTCCCTTCTCTGAATTGTCTTATGCTAATCTATCCGGTGCATGTTGTTATGAGTGTGGTAAACAGTGCAATAGCGGCTGTGAATGGAGAAATATTTTGGCGAGACACAACATTATTTTGTGTAATGGTACAATTTATCGAGATAATTCTATTGTTCGAAGTCATCTAATTCAAAATAATACATCCGTAAAGAATGAATGGGATGAAGTATCATTTTTTCCACCAGTCGTCAGGCGTTTATATCAGAATAATTCGTATATCTATGTGCTTAAACGTTCTGAACAGCATCTACTTTCACATTTAAAAGCATACGTGAATATATCTCGTTTTCGAGAATTCATTCGAACTGGTGATGCGGCAATTGCAGTTCGAGCTCGTATGTCTTCAGGAATGAAAGTTCTTATTGGCGACGACATACTTCAGTTTCATCGAACAACATCAGATTTAATTCAAGCAAAATGGAACAATCTTCCTCTAGATAAGAATCGATTCGACTTAGATGTCGTATTCGATAATACACTTACTCCTACTTCGTTGTGGTTGAATTATATTGAAATAGGAGTTGTTCCGCGTTCACCACGGCTTTGATCTATCTTGTTTGACTTCTGAAAAAAAAGAACTGTGGAATATGGATCTGCAAAATCGCTTTTTTTCTGGTCCTTAAAAGTGACTCTTGTTTCTAAAATCGAGAGACTTTTTTTACGAATACATGTAAAATTAACATGAATGACTTTTATTCGTTAACAGCGCGAGCAGGTGAAAAGCCGTATAGGGTGTGGGTGTAGATTTGGGAAAGAAAGACCCATAGCCGCATCCACACCCACACCCATCACTCTACTGGCACCCCCACCCCCCCACCTTATGCGTAGAATAATAAGTCCCTTTTATTTTCATATATCCTTGCTTTTATAAACCCTTCGACTCATAAACCCTTGGAATGTTTAGGATATTGGTATAAACCATTCAAGAGTTTATGAGAAACTGCACTTAGGGCAAACGTTTATTAGTCTATGTTTTTTTACAGTGTACAACACTAGCAAATCAACATCAAAATTACTAAGTCTCGTAGCCTAATGCGCTCTTCAAAAAAATTCGTATAGCTTGAAGAATTGAACTTTCCTATATTTTCATTTTTGCGCTGCTCGATCATAAATCAGTCTAGCAGTCTACACTGAATATTTTATGTGTCCGAAAAGACTCGACAAAACACTATGAACCATTTTGTTATTCTTTTTCGCAATGATGCAGTGTGTCTTTTGCGTCACATGATTCAGCGATAAAGAGAGACAGGGAAAGAAAAATTGATTGACACACATGTCTTTGTTCTGTTTTCACGGAAAGTCAATCTCCTTACATACAGCATACTTGAATAGCGGCCTTCATTTGCAAAGCAAATATTTGATAAGAAAATGGAGAATGGCGCACTTTGTTGGCTGTCATCACTGAGTTTTTTCCAACTTTCAAGAAAACAACACAAAGTCAATACACAGATGAAGTGACGATGAATTAGCAAGCTTTGACGCCAATTTGATGACGTTTGCGATACTTTGATGTCAGCAAATTTCTGAGGCGTTTGCTATATAGCGTAAGGTGTGGGTGTGGGTGTGGGTGTGGGTGTGGGTGTGGGTGTGGGTGTGGGTGTGGGTGTGGGTGTGGGTGTGGGTGTGGGTGTGGGTGTGGGTGTGGGTGT